CAAACGAGTACGATTGCAGAAGCCCGCGGAATCCGCGCGTTGACACAGCAGTTCCGAGAGTTTGGGTCTCTCCGGTGCCCGCTGGGGGCAAGCAAGTTCATGTTGAGAAGTTTATTATGGAACGCCCCAAACCCTACACACATCCCCAGCAGCCCAGAACGAACCCTAAACCCTAAACAACAATCCAAAACCCAAAAAAGCCTTGACTAGAACCGTAAACCCCGTTATCAGAACCAAACAACCCCAAATCCCCTTAAACATGACCATCTCACTCAGAAAAGCCGTCTTTGCCAGGCCGGTGCAGCGCCTCTACTTCGGGGCGGCTCGTATATTCAGAATAAGGAGACTAAGAAATCAGACAGCTATTCACAGCTCTTGCTTGCGCTTTATCAAAGCCTGTGCTATCTGGGATGCATTGCTCTGCAGTCCTGCGCTCGGACGTTTCCAGTTCGTTGCAGGGGGCTGCGCTTTTCTGTTCGCGCGGTCAGCGTGAGTTTCCAACTCGTTGCAGGTGCAGGGGTGCGATCTTGTGCAGAGGCCCGAGGCCCAAAGCTTTGCACACCGTGTCTTGTCGAGGGTGTGGGAGGTCCAAGGCACAATGTGGTGCAGATTTCCCTTGCGTTGCATCAGCCTCCATATCGAAGCTGTCAAGCAGCACCGGGCCTTTTGCCTGAGGCCTCGTGGCTGCCCCTCCCATGGCCGTGATAGAGCGAAAAGTAATGATCTGCGGTCCAAGTGGCAGCGGAAAGTCTTTTGTGAGCAACAAGCTCACCCTTCTGCCGGTACCAAAGAGGGCGGAACAGGAGAAAGATCCGAACTATGGCGTGATCTCCAGCAGCAGTTTCGGCCGTGGCTCCATTAAGGTGCATGGGTGTTGGTTGGAGTTAGCGTTGCGGACGTGGTGTTGGACAAGGCCTCCCAGAGAAGTGCGGCAGGTGCTAGTGTTGTGCTTGGAACCCCCTGCAAGGTGCTTACAAAGCGTTCGAAAAACCCGGTCAAGTACATCGATTCGACAGGAGATGAAGGCCAGATGACGCTCTATGTGACAGACACGCCAGGAATGCCCAGCGAGGAGAGCGCGGCGGTGGAGCTCCTCAGGGACATCAGGAAGTCCCCGCTGCACGGGATAATTTGGGTCGTGGATGCCAGCACCCGATATGACCGTGACACGGAGCCGGTGCTCAACGCAGCTAAGCGGTGTTTGGGAGAGCAATTGAGCGAGTCCAGGCTCATCGTGTTCGTGAATAAGGTCGAGCAGACCCAGCAGGCCACCCTTGAATTTAACAAGGCTGTTAATTACGTGGTGGAGCGCCTTTTGGGCAAAGAGAAAGTGAAGGACTTCCATAACGCTGCGTACAACTTTCAAGGTGAGGACAAGGGAGTTAAGGACTTGAAGACTGTCATCGCATCATTGCCGGACCTTTCCCTGCAGGTTGGCGACATTTTTCCGACCAAAATCCCGGCAGGGTCACAATCAGCAGCTTAGCATCCAGCAAAGCAGCAGCACGAAAGCAACCTGTAGTCAACGTCATCATAGTTGTTAGCCTACTCTCCGTGAGCGCACCCTTTTGAAGCTTGTTTGCTCGCCGCAATTATCAGGTGGAACTGCCCTTCATCTTCGGAGCCAGCCTCACAACAACGCTCATCTTCTCAATCGCGTGGGCAGTTTATGCACTGGCTTTTTGGGGCGTCCCGCCCTTCCTGATGCAACTCTTTGTGACCATTGCCGGGTCTGTTGCTTGCCAGCTCGACCCTGTCCAGTTGATTTTAGTTGCAGGACTTTGGAGTCTGGACTTCATCAACGACGACATGGCAAGCGACCCATTCTACGGCATCGTTCTTGTAGTTGTATTCGGAGCTGGCATGCTTTTGCAGGAAGTGCCTCGGCTGCTTGAGACAAGACGGAATATGAACAGCCGAAACGAGCCATTGCTTCCGACTAACGAGCCATTGCTTCCGACTTCGCCACCTCACCACCGTCCTGCGGATTTGCCTTCGGAGCCACACGAGCCCCGTCTGGCCACAAAGCCACAAACGGACAGTAGAGTCACAGTCCTCTGGTCCCTCTTCAGCGGAACGTTCAACTCTGTTATTGGACTTGTCACTGGCAAGTTCTGCGGCCCCATCTCTCTCATTCTCTGGTGCGTAGGCTCCCTCATCATCGCACGGTATGTGAAAAAAGCGATGGAGGAAGTAGTCAACCGAATTGCACGATTCGGTTACTTCATGAGCAAAGTCGTGGAAGATGCGATGCAGAAAGCAATAAGTGCTGCAGAAGAGCTGTTCAACAAGTTGGACGAATTCTGGAGCATTTTACGGGATTCTGCACAAGAAATGCGCCATATTGCCGGAGTTCGCACAGCTGCTGGGGCATGCTTTGGTGTAGTCCTTGCACTGTGTGTCGCCATGCTCCTTGGTGACTCAGGCTTGGTGTTCACACCGTCAGATACAAAGCGCGCGAAGGCTCTGGCCTACATGCAGTCCGTCTTCTTCTTGAAGCCGCTGCTTTATGTGACCCTGCCAACAACGACCGTGAGTGAAGTCGTTGCATTGGCTCTTACCCTGGTACCCCTCCTCCAGTACCTGAGCAGCATTCATGAGAAGAGCCAACGGGATATGCATGTGGAGCTTGTCATTCTCATCCTTTGCTACTTCGTGGCGGTTATGGCCAGGTCTCTGCGGCAGAAAGGTGCCTAGTCCGACTTAGGTTGAAGCTTCTAGCTATTTTAGCTGAGCAGTCCGTGCTCGTGAAGAGTCCGCGTCGCGAGCTGAAGCCAGCTCAAGCTTGCGCTACGGGGGCAAAAGGACATGGAACATGGACTCATCGGTCCTCTGTGCACTCTGCGACTCGAAGCTCTCCCAGATGTAGTTTGATCTCAGCGCCGATGCAGGGCCGTATCATTGAGCACGTCATGCATTCATACAATTGATGCGTGCTGCGAGGAGCCTGTGAGGAGGGACGAGGGATGCCGAAGCAAGGCCCGGAGAGCAGTGGCACAGAAAAACCGAAAGCCGGGATCATCGCGGACCATTGAATGATGCGTGATGTGTTGCTTGCACTTCTGGTTCTGTCTCTGAAGCAGACAACGAACTGCGGTTTCTGCTGCATATACTTGGAGGCAGATGCCATCGCCAGGTTATCTCTTTAGCCAAGTGTCAGAAGTCTGCTGACACGTTGTGGAAGCTTTCACTGCATTGGGTTTTGTGGTGGAGGCACATGCAGCCGAGGTCCCACGGCAGGTCAGCGGACCCAAGCGCTACACATGTCATCACGCGTCTAGATGGCTCGTGCTAATGTTGCACATCATGTCTGCACACTATATGATACGACCGCAACAGCATGCAACATCCATCTGCCATTATCGCCACCACACCTCGCAAGACCTGTGTCTAGATACCAAAGTCGCAGAAACAGTTGCAATGTATAGAGGCATTGGTAAGGGTTGGGACGTTAGGGTTTGGGGTTTTGAGGTTGAGGGGCAGAGGTTGTCGGGAGAGCACATACTCGAGCTCTTCCTGATGATTTCAATGTGTGCTTTCACTTTCTCCCGGTCTCACTGTAGTTAAAGCAATCCAACAAAGCTGTGCAAGCTGTTCGTGATGAGACTGGACCCAACCCTCAAACACCGGAAACCTGCCCACCCTGCCCGGCAGTTCCCGCCAGCCATACATCCTTTCTTGCCATGCTTTTGCTCCGCAGTGAAGAGGGATTAGCTGATCAACTATGCTCATGCTTGCCTTTTTGATTGCGCTCCTTGCTTTGCAAAAATGCCCGCGACACGTGATACCGCAGTCACCATGACGATGTTTGCCACATGTCACATGGATGGTGCCTGCGCTGCTGTTGTTCCACTGCCAGATTTTCTGCGATCATCAGAGTATCAAGGGGCTTCAAGCTATCAGAAGAGCGCAGGCTTGTCGTGGGAGTCCATGGGCGCTGTGCGAGGCGTGGAAGGTGTATGAGAAGCCCCAGCCAAGCACCAACGAAGTTTGGAGGAAACCGTTCGTAATTGTCACCAACAGGCGAAGTCTTTGCTCTTCCTGTGGCATACCTGACTAACCACGATTACGTAGCAGTGCAGCTATGACCCATGTGCTTTTGTGGGCATCGGAGTGGGTAGGTCGGGGTGGAAAAGAAGAAGCATCTCCGCCCGCGCAACCATTGCTTGGATGGTTCCTGTGCCGCAGAACATGCAGAGCAGAGCTTGTGCAGTATGCGGTTCGCTTGTGATTGAAAGACTCCGGTTTGAGATCAACACTTGCAACAACAGTCCGAAGCGGGTTGCGCTCATGTTTGGCAAGATGTGTCTAGGTGATGATGCAGCAGATTACCTTGACTTGACGAACCATGCTCGGGAGGAATCCGGAAAGGAATGCTGAAGGGGTCTTGACCGTTTGTGTTAGGTTTGATTGGCATTGAGCTTGATGAAGTTTCCTCGAATGCATCGAAATTGGAGCGTTCTGCGTCTGATTGGCCCCGTTGCCGAAGTTGATGTTACTTGCGTCATGGTGTAGTACTTCTAGACAATAGCTTCAGTCCGCATCCCCCACATCTCTGCTGATTGAAGGGACGGCCTGGTTCAGAGGAGTGACCAGACCCGCCCAGACTTCTTACATGTGCAGGAATGGAGAGATCGGGGTCAAGGTGCAGCCGCCGCAGATGTGTTTCTCTGCGCCGGCGCGGCAACTCAGGCGCGCGGCGGATCGCGCAGCGTCCAATATCTGGGTGCAAAAGCATGTTGAGAGCTGCTCTTTTCTGTTCGTGCGGTCAGCGTGAGTTTCCAACTTGTTGTGGGTGCAGGGGTGCGGTCCTGTGCACACCGTGTCTTGTCGAGGGTGTGGGGGGTCCAAGGCACCATGTGGACGACAGCGGGGCAGATCTTTTGCATGCAGTGAAGATTTCCTTTGCATTGCAGCGGCCTCCATAGCTTGTATTCTGCAGGTCGAAGCCGTGAAGAGGCACCGGGCCCTTTGCCTTAGGCCTCGTGACTGCCCCTCCCATGGCCGTGATAGAGCGAAAAGTAATGATCTGCGGCCCAAGTGGCAGCGGAAAGTCTTTTGTGAGCAACAAGCTCACCCTGCTGCCGGTACCAAAGACTTCGCAACAGGAAGAAGATCCGAACTATGGCGTGATCTCCAGCAGCACCTTCGGCCCTTGCTCCACCAGGGTGCATGGATTTTGCCTGGGGTTCTTGAAACAACCATGGTACCTTTGCCCGCAGTCTTGCGTTGTTTCACCATCAGTACTGTTACTGGTATTATGACTATAGTAGTAGTTGTAGCCGTGTTCGTAGTAGTAGTAGTCGTGCTACTACTACCGTCACCACTACTACGGTTACGGCCACTAGTAGAACAGTAGTAGTGGGAGTAGAGGTAGTAGTGGCAGTAGTGGTTGTAGTGGTACTGTTGATGGAGGAAATCTTGCACCAGTTTGAATAGACCAAGAATGCGCGTACCCCCTGCTTTACATTGATGTCCAGTCCTGCAAAGGGCCGTGGGTTCCGTTGACAAACATCTTGTACCAGCCACATTGGCCATCGTCATTCTTGAACAAGGGGTGTGGGTCCTCGTGATGGGCGGTGTCATGAGTCATCATCTGGGCGGTGCAGTATATACTAGTATTCTGAACTGCTCACATTAAACGGCGAGTCTCGAGCCTTCCTTTGAAAGTTCAGCGGTGCGGAAGCGACGGGCTCCCTGTTTCCATAGCTTCACACGTGCGTTCCTGTACTTCCAAAAGGGGGGTTTAGGGTTTTTGGTTTAGGGTGGAGGGTTTAGGGCTTCGGGGTGCGATGAAGGTAGATGGGGCAGTCCTGCCTTTTCCCGGTGTATGCAGTGTTGGACAAGGCCTCCCACAGAAGAGTGCGGTTGTGCTTGGAACCCCCTGCAAGGTGCTAACAAAGCGTTCAAGAAACCCCGTCAAGTACTACCTCAATTCGAGAGGGGATGAAGGCCAGATGACGCTCTATGTGACAGACACGCCAGGAGTGCCCGACACGAAGGGCAGATCGGTCAATTTTCTGAACGAGGTCATGTCCTTCGCAAGGGAAAGCCGTCCGCACGGGATAGTTTGGGTCGTTGATGCCGTTGGCAGGTTTGGCAATGACATGGAGCTGGCGCTCCAGGCCGCTAAAGAGTGCTGGAATGGGCAGCTCACTGAGTCCAAGCTCCACGTCTTCGTGAATAGGGTGCCTAGCGCATTTTCGCTTGCAAATGATGGAGAGGAAGAGGAGAACATCGAGCAGGTCCAGGCGGAAAAGGTTGATGCAGCTGTGCGTTACGTGGTGAAGTGCTTGCTGGGCGAAGACAAAGTGGAGGGCTTCCGGAATTATTCATGGAACCTTGCCGGCAGTCACGAAGGAATAAAGACACTCAAGCTTGCTATTGCGAAGTTCGACACCCCCCTGACAGACCAGCAGGCTGGCAGCATACGCACCTGGGACGAGCTCAACACATACTACGAGGACTTGGAAACGGGTGCGATAAGTGCAAAGGAATTCCAGGAGCAACAGCTCTCCGCAAAGCAGTTTGCGAAGCAATACCTCGTCGCGGTTGCCGGTGTGGCAAAGAGATGGCCGACTGCATCTTTCAAGTCATTAGCGGAACGTATCGGTAAGAAGATGGAAGAAGTTGACGGGGAGATCCAACGGTTGCAGGGTGACCACGAGAAGGAGTTGGAAAGGGAGAAGAAGCTCTTGGCCTCAAGCAATTCATGCAAGCTTGGTTTTTGGAGCTTGTAGGAGTTGTCGTTTACCTTTTTACTTTGGCAGTAATTTTAACGCTACGCCGCCCGCCTCGGCTCTGTAGCGGCAGGGCGAGGCGGCAGTGGATGTTGTATACAGCATGCTAAGCGGGAGTGTCGGGGAGGGGGGGAGCCGGACAAGGGGGTGGCAAATGAGCGCAAAAAACGGGTGTCCCCAAACATTTGGACTGCAGGGAGGAGGATGAGGTGGAGGGTACCTGAGGTAACCACCAAGACGCCTGGGCCTGTAACCGGTTAAGGCCTTCCAGCCATGCCGCCCGGAGCAAGAAAAAACAACACAGAAAGAGCCTGAAAAGAAAGACAGGCAGTGGATTGACGACCCAAAGTGGGGGCGAGGAAGACGAAACGAGGGCGGGGAGAAGAAGTGGGAGCAGGAAAGAGGAAGAAAAAGGGGGGGGGAGGGGGGGGAGGGGGGGGGTGAAACCATAAACCTCTAAAGGGGTAGCTCTAACAGGTACCTACAGCAATGGCTGCATGCTCATACATATACATTCCGCTGCCCATTGGCTCACAGTGGTTTTACCATCTTGAGACAAGACAAGCTCTCCTTGCGTAGCAAGACAAAACAACTACTGTCCGTGTGCAGGGCGCTGCCCTTTGATCCTTAGGGAATAAACTGGTCATACACCTCCTAACAAGGAGCATTTCCTTGTTGGTGTATCGGCTCAGTTTTCTGGTAGCGGAGCCCGGAAAGGGCCGCCCGCCTCCCAAAGTCCGCTACAGCGGTCGGCCTCGCCGAACGCTTAACCAAGCGGATAAGAGGCAGCACAATGTCGAGCTCGCATAGCGAAGCCGACGGCAGTTCCCAATCCTCCGGGGGATATGAGAACGAAGAGGCCTCCCAAGGTCCAGCTACTTATGTCGCACAGTCATATGCAACATCTGACCGCATGCTTGCATCATTAGGCATAACGCCCAAGATCGCGCCTGCCTATGATGGCACCACCTCGTGGTTTGAGTATGAACAGTTGATTGACGAATGGTGCGACATAACAACGCTGGATGACACCAAAAGAGGTCCGTCTCTCAAGACGAGGCTCTCCGGATTGGCCGCAGTACAAAAGGAATCACTGAACCGAGAAAGGCTTGCAGCCCCAGATGGAGTAGATTACTTCAAGAAGAAGATGCGTCCATTTTTCGTGAAAGGAGAACAGTACGTTTTCTATTCAAGGCATGGAAGGGCAACCAAGACTTTGTGACTTGGATTGCTAAGTTTGAGATCGTGCTACAGCGCGTGAGAAACTCATGGATGGATCTCTTACCAGAGATAGCTCTGGAAGATGCCCATCCGGATTTCATGCAGGCTGTGCAGGCAGATCAAACCTTCTTGCGCCTACAGGATGCAACCGAGAGAGACACATACGCCGCACGTTTCTTCGAAACATGGAACAAGGAACGCCTTGATAATCATCGAAGAGCGTTTCCTCTAAATGATAATCTCCTAGCTCTCCTCTTCCTAGTGCAGTCAGACCTAAATGAGATGCAACGTGAGAGGTTGGTAACAGCATTGACCAACCAAGGTTACCGAATTGAGACCTACACGTACCCTATAGTACGGCAGACCATGTTCGATCAGTTCTCAACGACCAGAACTGGTCTGCAGGATCCCAACATTCGGCACTCTTCTCACAAGAAGGACCGCCATGGAAGGAGAGATCAACGCCGCAAACGCGGAGGTCGAAACTTCCTCATCCTCGATCAGGGTGAATACGAAGGAGTCGATGGATTCTGGCTTCAAGACGAAGACACCCTTGAGGAAGGCTTTCTTGCCGCCGAGGATGAAGAAGCTGTCTTCTGGACAGTTGACGACCATGAAGCCTTCGTTGCAAGGAGATTCAAAAAGGGAAGAAGACCAAGAATGCGTCCCGGATCACAGGGAAGAGCAAAGGGTGGCAAGCGAAAAGGACGTGGCCGTTTTAGGTCATACCGCGGAAAAGGGAGAGCCAACCAGGCAGAACATGATCCAACTGATTCCAGCTATTTCGGTAAAGGTAAAGGAAAGGAAAAAGGGAAAGGTGGAAAAGGCAAAGGAAAAGGAAAGGACAAAGGAGATAAAGGAAGCTCCTTCAAGGGTACAAAATCAAAAGGCAAAGGTAAGGGTACAGCTAAGTCTGCCTCCTTACAAGGAGACCAAACTGGATCTCCACAGGCCTATGAGAGTTCCACCGCACCGAGCTGGGATTCATGGTATGAGGACAGTTATTATACTGACTCCAGTTGGAATTATGCCGTTTATGACGATCAAACGTCTTATACATACTATGCATCACAAGCCTCACGAAGAAAGACACGGAGAAAGAAGAGAAGAAATCAAGCAGGATCATCAGGTAGAGGCACAGATCCGAGCGCGCACCAAGAACCCGTGTACAACTCATCAGTGAGGTACGTGCCCCAGGTCTCTGAACCATCCGAGGGGCAAGGTGTGGAGACTGCAACAGCAGTGTTTCCGTTGCAGCACACCGTCCTATCTGCTCTCACAGAGCGGATCAATCTTGATAAGAGCCCTCCCTTTGTCATACTTGACTCTGGTTGTACTAGGGCTATGGGTTCCCGCTATGCGGTGAACAGGCTTATCAAGGCCGTGAAGCAACATGCCCCAGGCATGCTTGATTTCACTTTTTCACCTTCGAACACGAAGTTCTCTTTTGCAGATAGTGAAACAGCTCTTATCAAGAAGCGTGTAACTCTATGGTTTAACACAACTCCAAGAAGAGATACAACCATAGAAGTTTTGGATCAGGGAAGAGTCCCCATTTTGTTTTCCATCGAACAGATGAGGAATTTAAGAATGACCCTCGAGTGTAGGCCAACAGCTGACCTAGCAACGTGTGAAGCTTTCGGTTTGTATAAAACCCCTCTTCCGATTAGTACCAATAACCATTTGGTATTGGACCTTCTAGGCTTTACTTCCACCAGGAAGTACCTTCCTAAGTCAGGTACGTCGTTCAGTGCGACGGAGACTGCTCTAGGAGCCAATAAGCCTTATGTTAGGATACCGGAAGGTCGCTGTCCAGCCTGTGCCGGACAGAAAAAGGCTCACACGTACCTCAAGGGTTGTGACAAAGCGCCTGAGGGAGCAGCTGATCCACCGCCGAAGAGGATTTCAGGGAAAAAGAAGCCTCTTTCATCTGATCCGGCAGAATCATCTGCCAAGAAACTTGATCCACCAGAATCATCTGGAGATGTTCCTGAGCCTTCCGGACCATCGGAACCATCATCAGGTTCTAGGGACAAACCTGCAGAATCCTCTGCATCACATGAACCTCCAGAAGAAGAAAGACTTGAAGTTCCACCTGCGAAGATAAAGACTCCAAAGGGTCTTAAAAACCTTCTGAAGAAATCCCGCAAATATGCGGTTAAATCTCCTGTTGAAGAGAAGTCTAAGGTCCCAGGAGCTGATGACGGGACGGAGGTAAGACCACTTGAGTCAAGAGAATACCCGGCTCCTGGTACAGACTCCCCTACAGGTGAAGAGATTGTCGCAGAACCATCGCCATCTCTTCCCATTGCTCTTCGCAGGATTCATGAGAAGCTTAAGGACCCTGTAGAACTCTATAAGCTTCACCTCAAGCACCGTCATATGAGTACGGATCAGTTCAAGCGACGCACAAAAGCCTTACAGATCCCAAAGGAGATCTACGAGCTATATGACCAACTGGTCAAAAAGTGTTCAGCCTGCCAGGAACATGTGAGCGCTCCTTCGAGAGCGAAGATTTCTGGTCTAAGATCAGAGACTTTCGGTGATCTCACCTTCGTAGATCACGGTGAGCTTCCAATTCCTGGCAAGGATAGTCGCTTAGTATTTCTTATTCTCTATGATGGAGCAACAAACTTGTTGACTGCCGAAGTAGTCCAGGATAAAGAAGAACATACGACAATGTCGATTATGAATGACTACTTTGAGAAATTTCAGATGAACCCAAAGGTTGTAGTTGGAGATCAAGCATTCATGACTCCAAAAATGGAGGCTTATTACAATCGGCAGAATATCAAGCCTGTAGCAACAGGACCTGGAACACCATGGCCCAACAGGGCCGAAGCTGCTGTAAGATTGCTGAAACATCAGATTAAGCTCATACTTCAGATCCTGAAGGACGGTGACCCGCAGTATAACGGAATCACCATGAAGTATGGCAATCTCGTTCGCCAAGCATGTTTGGCAAGAAACTCTTCGATTACCTACGGAGGAGTTACTCCTTTAGAAATGGCCTTTGGAAGGCGTCCTCGAGATGTTATAACACCAGCGAACGCTGATCCCAATCAGTTGACAGGTAATCCAACTGATACGGAAGTCACTGCGAGAGCCATTAAGGAGCTTGCCAACAGGGCTTACCAA